GGAGATTATTTCATAACTTATGAAGAATTAATCAAACAGGTATGTTGTGGATCATTTGGTGTGAAATATCTCAAACATGCATGAACGTCCAGGTATTTACTACAACTACCTTAAATATGCTACAACATAGTCAGTCACGATATGGGAGTTGTCTTAACCTAAAAAAACTGGATATATTTCTTCAGAAAACTTCTTCAGATATATTTCTTCAGGTTAACTTAAAACTGGATATATTTCTTCAGAAAACTTCTTCAGATATATTTCTTCAGGTTAACTTAAAACTGGATATATTTCTTCAGAAAACTTCTTCAGATATATTTCTTCAGGTTAACTTAAAACTGGATATATTTCTTCAGAAAACTTCTTCAGATATATTTCTTCAGGTTAACTTAAAACTGGATATATTTCTTCAGAAAACTTCTTCAGATATATTTCTTCAGGTTAACTTAAAACTGGATATATTTCTTCAGAAAACTTCTTCAGATATATTTCTTCAGGTTAACTTAAAACTGGATATATTTCTTCAGAAATATTGACTGGATCTGTAGATTTCTTCTCTGACGTTTTCAATTACATAAGCAGACGTGCAGAATTACATGAACTAAAACAGCATGCAGGTTAAGAATTTTTAACCAGGGGTAGCACTGATCTAGCTTTGAACAATCGGCTCATGGTCTGGGAACTCGACCAGTTTTTTTATCTCCATATGTTGATTTATACAGACTTATGCACAGTGAAGACAATGACTTTTTGGCATAATAAAGCAATCACCCCGTAGCATCGCCTTGCCGAATGTTGAAACATTAATACGCAAAATTTCAAATGATTTGTGCAGTCCGAGCCGTCTCGACATACATGCAATCGTAGCTCATAGATACATTGAAGTTCGTACATTCCATGCAGACCATGATCTCGCCGACTATGAGTACAATATACATTGCGGTTTTCATTAGAACTACTTGCATGAAAAGATAACAATATCTTCGATGATTCGAACGAACGCTCTTTATCTACAGTTAAAGGGAAATGGCAATATAAATTTTTATTTTCTCATTTGAAAGAACTTTTGAAACTATATATTAGATAGCTTAAGATCTACGACGTCGACGTTAGCTAGGACGTCAGGGCTAAGCAGAGGACTGGGACTACATTAGGACGACATCCTAGTCCCAGTCCTCTGCATAGCCCTGACGTCCTAGCTGACGTCGACGTCGTAGATCTTAAGCTATCTATTAACTTCTTTTACCAATTTTTCATATCTTGCTTAGTTCTTGAAATATTTTCACTTGAAGTAATGAGATGTCCGCCATCTTGGATAAATTTTTTTATCTCATTAACGGTAGTTTTGGTGACGTCACAACAGGGATTAACCATATAAAAGTACTCGTTGCTGACCAAATATTGATTGGTAGATGTTTTAAAGGTTTTGAATGATCTTGATATTTCGATGGGCAGACAGATTATAGTTTTGAGAGGAAAATGATTAGTGGTTATCTAGATAAAAATATTGCGTTACCCCTGTTGTGACGTGACATACATATCTACAAAAATTGAAGATGGCGGACATTTCCTTCCTTTCGATCAAAATATTTGTAGAAGTAAGCAAGATATGAAAAATCGGTAAAAGAGTATCATATATAGTCTCTAAATAGTAATAATAATTTCAAATGATAAAACAAAAATATATATTGCCATTTCCTTTTAACTTCCGACCATGGGTCTTCGCTTGAATCGTCGATGTTTTCTTTTTCCTCTTTCAGGTAATTCTGAGTATAAAAGTATAAAAGAATTTTTTCTGCATTGTAGTTGTACTAGTAGTACTGTATAGTTGTACTTGAGTGCTTGCTGCAAAAACACGTGCCAAACATTTAAACTTCAACATATACTTGAATAAACTCCGGCATTATATCTGACATGTGGTGTGTTCAATTTTGTTTTGCAGGTCAAAGCAGTATTTGGATTGTATGGAGGCAACATCCGTTTTTCACTTGATGCTGAAGGCAAAGACGGTAGGTTATTATATAACTTGGTTTCTTTTCAACCGTTGTAAAATTGCTTGACAAGTGAAAAAAAGGACGAATATAGATCCCACAATTAATAAAAGGAAACTTTAATATTTATATACTGAAGTCTAATCTGGCATGGGCGTACGGGGTGGGACAGAATGAAGTCAAATAAAGTCGGGCAAAGCTTTAAAAGCCGCCCCCCCTGCGTACGCCTGTGTCAGCGTAGGTAGATTGAAGATACGACCGATGGATATGGATTCAACTACCTATAAATACAAGCAAAACCTCGACGTTTCGAATGAAGACCCTTCGTCGACGAATTGTTATATGTCATTAAGAAACCTTGAAAAAATCACTATCCGCGGTGCATAGCACTAGCGCGGCCCACGCAAAGGCCACGCAAGCCATAGAACAACACATAGCGACTGGGTACGAGGCAGCTAGCCTAATCTATTTTTCAATCTAACATGCATGGTTCGTCAACTCAATCCGTATCTTATGTGTGTTTAGTACTGTAGTAAGCTTAATAAACATTTTTCCTTTTAGAATTACAATCAGTGGAGTCTTCTGAACTAGCTGGATCAACAATTTATGTTTTTACTAAATGATAAAATACTTATACTAAAATAAACAGCTAGTGATATACAAAATTATTTTAATATAGTAAATAAGAATGTGCATGTCATTTGACAACAAAGTAATTTTCTAATTTAGTTTCATCTATCTGGTGATATGCTGTGCACCCTAAACTATAATTCAGATGAAATACAGGGAGAGCTTTGATTAAGTCCCATGCAAAATTCACTCACAACAGCTTGGTTAAAAACACGTGTATATTTTGACGTTAAGCCTTTTTTAATTCTATATGTACAAGTTAGTTAAAACACTTAAATATATATAGCAGTGCAAATACTCGTCTACCGTATAGGAAGAACGCCAAACGTTAATTGTGACATTCCTACACACTGACGTGCATTATACTAGTTAGTTGATACAAATATTGATGTTGCTGGTAAGCATTACCGTAAAATAGATTATATTGTTAGAAAGTTGTTAGTTAGTGCGATTTGTTGACTGTTTTCCACATGATAAATGCCATCAGTTGTCACTCTGTTCAAAGTACATGAAATCCTGAAAAAGAAACAAGTGATCCAAAGATGTTACCCACAGCTAACGTATCAATTTAGCATAGGATCCAAATGCAGGATAACTGCCTCGTACCCAGGCGCTTTGTTGTGCTACGCCGTCGCGCGACACGCACACGGGACGACACGCGTGGGACAAAATGCGACCCACGCAAAAGACCACGCAAGCCATAGCGACCACATTGCGCCGGTACGAGGCTGACAGGATGATACAATAAAGGCCCGCACAGACGTCCAACTTTTTCTTGACAAGTTTGATTTGCGGCAAAACGTGAAAGGCAAAAAATTGACAATTATTCTTTGCCATACTGTTAATTTCGGGGAGTTAATTTAACTCCGGTGGAGTTATACTGTACCTCAATTAACTCCAAATGTGGAGTAAAGTTAGGTTCAGAATAATACCACTGGAGTTAAATTAACTCCCTGAAATTTACAGTGCAAGGAGCCTTGTTCCAAATCTATAGTCATGCGAGCTTTTGGGCAAGGAAAATTTGTTTGTGGGTACACGGCCTCAATAAGGAACACTTCATAAGTGCACAAGAAATATTTCTATGCCCGACTATGGTTTTGGCAAACAAAAGACGACCTTGTGTGTACAGTCAATACGTTTTCCTTCTTGTGTGTACGGTCAAGTTTTCCTTCTTGTGTGTAAACTCAACCATGCAGTAACCTGAATTAATTTGCAGTTTGGACCTCCGTCAATTTGTTCGTAAAGAAGTACATTATTTAGCATGCACAGTTTTAGAGAAAGACGAGAGTTCGCATACTTACAATCAGGAATGCAGCACCAAATACGATAGCCTTGGCTGAAACATCCATGTCCACTGGAACTAAACACGAGATGTTAAATATGCATGTAGAGAGGTCTTCTCATAATCAACAAATACACTTAGTAAATACAAATATGATGGCGGGAATTGGTGTGTGTGTGTGGGGGGGGGGGAGTGATGTAAACTTCGACATAAAATATTCCTAGGGGCCTCGATAATAGTATATACTTCAGGACTGATGAAGCACGTAGAGAAAACCTAGAGTGTTAAGAAGAGTCAAACTGGAATTACTTTTAATGATCGACTGAAGCTTAATAATTTAATCAGAGACTGACTGCAAGAAGCGAACCATGATCAGATGAAAGGCACATACGTTAAGCTGTACAGAAAACAAATAAAGGGCCAGGGGTGGAAAAAGTATCGGAACCTGGGAACCTAGTTCCCAGAAATTTTTTTGAGTTGAGAATTTCGCAGAAAATTTTCCAGAAAATATTTCAACATTTTGAGATAACTCAACTTACAAGTTACAACTATTCTACTTTATTTACACTGTACACGCTAACATCAGCAGCCTTTTAAATATTTGACAGAAATTAATTATTTTACCCACCCCTGCCATCACAATGAGGTAAAATGGTAAATATATGCTCTGCAAAGTCTCCAATAAAATGCAAATTAAATAGTAAACAAATAAAAGTGATGGAATAAATAAGATGATATGACACTTAGTTAAGCATTAGATCCTTACTAGTTGGTCATAACTCATAACTGTGGTATATAACAGACAACTATTGCAATGTACGAGCATATGAAAACCAGCCTAAAGCCTATTATTACTAGAGTACAAATAATACAATAATTATGCATTTGTTATTTTTGTAATTGAAACATTGCAAATTTTGGAGAAAATTTCTAGCCTTCGACCCAGGTTCCCAGAAAGAAAAATTTTTTTCCACCCCTGTAAAGGGCATCCCAAAACATTTTGTGGTATTACTACTATACGTTAAAGTGCTACTGCAACGAAATTTTCGACCCGGATTTCCTGTTTCCCGCAAACAGAATTAAAATTGGTCAATTCAAACCAAATTTGTGATTTTTGGCACTTCCTGTGTCAGGATCGGCCATGTTGATGCCATGTGACGTCATAAGATGAACACGATTTCATCATGGCGAATTAAAATTATAGTGAAACCAACAAACGCGGAGAAGGCCGTGTTCCTGGTAGTTCTAACTTTGATTATTGCACGAATTCTGAAAAACCTGAAGGAATACCCATGCATCTATTTCCCAACAAAGAAAGAGATCCACAGGCACAGAGTGAAAGATTGACCGGGTTTTCACGCATCTGCGAACCTATTCAGCCCATTTTGAAGATTCGTGCAGTCGTGCTATATCTTTTTTTGACGAAACCTCGTGAAATGGAAAGAGTACTGAAGGAAGAGACTGTTTATACAATTTACATGGCTAGAATTGTTCCCCTGGCTAAAGTACAACTAACAGATGCAAGGCAAATAATTCAGGTTAGTGAGGTAAAAATTAATAAGTTCGCACATGCAGATATGGGTGAATTTCAATATTTTGCGCAAATGACGCTATATAGCCGAAAGTGTTTAACATTTTTTTTTGTATTAGATCATTTGTGGTTGTAGATCATGTTGTAGATCTCCTGTTAAGTCGACCTCGTACCCAGGCTATTTTCTGGTACTCGGGTACTACGGCCACCTGCTGATGTTAAGCACTGAATTTAGTGTCTTGTCCAGAGCATCTTGATATTGAAATAAATATAACAATTCAGCATATCTTCGTTTCCGTTCATATTATGACGTCACACGGCATCAATATGGCGGCGCAAAAGATGCGATAACCAATTTGCGTGAAATGTCGCTCGAGCAATATCACCTGCTGCTCGTAGCTGGTTTGGTGTTAAATAGCGAGGTTTTCGGGTTTGACTTCCACTACCATCATCACTACCTCGCGCTGACCTGGTTTGCATGTAAGTGGTTAGTGGTTTCCAACTATAGTGATGGTAGTGGGGGTCAAATCTGAACCACGCAAATAATTTTGACAGTGTAGTATTTATTCTTGCATGTTATATTGTAAAGTACGTGTTGTAAGGACTAAAGTCTGGTGTAAAATGGCTGGAGTCACTTTTGACTTGCATTACCGCTAGCACTACCTCGCGCTGACCTGGTTTGTAGGTGGGGGTCAAATCCGAACCTCGCAAATAATTTCATAGTAGTGTAGTATTTATTCTTGCATGTTTATATAGTGTAAAGGCCTGTAAAATCAGTATTACGTTGTCCAGTTTGTAGTCCGTACTACTACGTCGTGTTTTAGTGTTAGATGGATGGACTTAGTATGGGATTGTAGATAGTTCTGTTGTTCAATCATAGCTGTATGTGTTTTTTTATATAATGTGATTGTAAAGTTAATAAAAAAAACCAAAAAACCTTCAGAGGCCAAATTTGGCAACTTCTAGGCATCGCATGATGGTCAAATATATATGAAAATGCTTGTAAACGACTGGATTTTTATTTAAGCTAAAAAAAGTAGGTCCAAGAATTCGTTGCAGTACAACTTTAAGTATATTATTAATACTGGATTAAATAACCAACAGATATCATGTCAATCCATGGTCAAAATAACGTTTACGGTAGGTTACAATTACAGTAGCAGAAAACATATCGTGCACCACTGATGGCCTACACGATCGTCTGCCATGAAACAAAGTTTAAAAGCTTACATTTATACGTAGTTTCTTAAAGATAACTTACATGTGACAGAAAAGTTGTCGGCATCAGTGAAAAGTTCCATCAAACCCATCCATTGTTTTGTAATTTTTCCCACTTCATTTGTTTCATCTGCTGACATTACCTTCGATAAACAGAGTTAGCAAATTAAAACACATTTACATTTAACATAGCACAATTCTTATCAGTTAACAAGCTTAGCGCTTGCTCAGGCCTCGGGTTAATTAAGGGCAGGGTTGAGTAAGGGCAGGGCAGGGTGAAGTTCATTTCATAGTATGACTATTAATAACGGTAACCCAAAATACTGTCACGTTCCCGTGTTTCGCAACTCTCTTCTGCGCTCACACGCAAAATAGTCGTACTGCATGTCACTGGTTTCATCAGATTTTAAGAAAAATGAACTACTTGAAAAATATAAGAAGAATTTCGACGACATTTCAAGCGAAGGCCCTTCGTCTGGTAACTCCATGAAACGAAGGGCCTTCGCTCGAAACGTCGAAATCTCCTTATATTTTTCAGGTAGTTGCATGCCTACCAACGAAAGCTACCAGGCTATCTCTATAGCACTTCTAGGAAACAGCAGTACAAGAAGTAATACAATAGAAAAATACAAGAATGTTAAAGATACATACATTATACACGACATCTCCACAACATTTACACTGACAAAGTGGACCCCCAATTGTCAGAATGGGTTCTCTATTGGCGTTCAAGAGATCCCACTTTGGATAACAACATGTCCATCTAAAATGAATTCATAAAATACACTTTGATCACTTCGACATCAATGCCAATGGGCCAGTGATCGGAATATCCCATTGTCTTTTCATTTTATTATGAAAATCCCACTGTTCTCCATGCCATCATGTGAAGATTATAGCCTACTGTTCATCGGTGTGAGGGGGAAATGAATGGACTAAATTGCAGTGCAAATGTGAGGTCAACGAGGGGCATCAATATTAGTACTCTATATATTAGGATGACTCGATAGTCTATGACATTTACATTTCGTTTTCTGTTCTTGCCTAGTTAGCCACATGCCAGAATTGTTTTTGTTCTGTCACAGTGGTCACAGAAAGAAATGATTTTTCCAGGCCTGCTAACGTTCTTCGTGTGACTGAAACTTTCCACAGAACATGAATAGCTACATTAAGAGACAATTTAGTAATGTCTGAACAACAAGCTTTATGCACCGAACCTGATGTAAACGACCTGAACTCTTTCTTTGAGCTCATTTTTATTGGATTCTGCTCATGAAACATTTGACGTCTGAAACACTGGCTAACAGTATTGAGTGAGATGCCCCTGGCGACAACTTAATAATTATATATATACATGAACGTTTGGTTAAAGCTTGACAACTGGACTCTGTAGCTCAGTTGGTTAGAGTGCTGCACTGGGATCACAGGGACTGATTCCTGTGAGAGGGCCGACAGTTTCGCAGCCGCTCCTGCTTAGGTCTAAACATTGCCATCAACAACACCCTTCAACATTTTGTATCGAGTGAGATGCCCCCTGCAAATCCTAATATTTAATCTTTAGTACTTTCTAGTCTTTTTAATGTACAGGTAACCAAGCACAGCAGCTTATTTCACTGCAATCTAGTTTGTTAGCAAATCAAAGTCTATTTCCTTCGTGCATGCACATACAACGAAATACGTCTGCTCGCATATAACATATAGTAAAATATCTTATATACCTTTCATTCACATAACCAATGACCTGACCAGGTGGGGCATGAATCTCCATCTCTTGAAGACAACATGGACAACAACATCCCTGACATCTTAGAGGACGCACAAGACGGATCACTTCACGTTGATAATTATCAACTACTTGGATGTCAAATGGTCGCAAAGGGCCACAACATTGACGGGTACAACAGTCAGTGTCTATTGATAAAACGAAACATAATAAATGTTTGATGCTTGTTTTTCAACTTAACCTTCCTGGACAAAGTATTGTTAGTTTAAAATGTCAGACGAAGAACAGAAATGATAAAATCAAGATAATTGAAAAAATATATCATCCAAGAATTATCATATTTAGAACTGGAATTTCACGAGGCAAACCTTACTCCCAGCCTCTCTAATGAAGGGAATAATTCCTCCACAAGTGGAAACACCTGGGGACAAGATTAACCTATTCATGGTCTATTATATCTATGATTCATATATCCAAACCACAGCACTCCCATACTCTGTGTCAGTTTTGATCCATTCAACATTATTGTATATTTGGAAATAAATTTCATGGAAACTAGCATTTTATATCATTACAAACAATTAAAAACAGTTTACCTTATATTGACTTAAAAAGCAACTTGATTTAATGTCAGAGATTTAATGCATTTGATAGTTTCCATAAATGTATGTATATTTCAAAATTGACAATAATATTGAATGTCCGAACGCTCTAAATAGCAGCAGCAAGAAATTTAATTTATTTGCATTGTTCATCTAAATTATATTTATAAAATGTTTTATTTTGTTATGCCCTCTACGGAAACCATTTTCAACCACCGTGGACAGGCATATTTTTCAAGCTTGCCCGGTGTGGATATGCACTCAGAGTAATATCACAAGCATCATTTTCAAAGACTTAACGGTTTATTATACCAATGGTTCATTTTGTAAATATAATCTAAATGAACAATACAAATAAATTAATAAAAAACTTAAACCCTTCAACAAGAAATTTAATATTTACAAGACAACTTGGTCAATAATAAGCACAACAAACCTTCTTGAACAAAGAATATTTGTTGACCAAGTGTGTTGTACACATGATATTTGTTTTGCATCTCACAACCTGTGAAAACTACATAAAAGAATTAAAACTAAAATGAAAACAAAGCAAAAAGACCAAAAGAAACAAACATGTGGAAATTTAGTTGCATATACTAATTCATACTATAAATGGCTCAGTTACTTTGGATTTAACAGGGCCTAGGGGCGGCTCTACCGTCAGGGCACTAGCTGATTGAAATGAAAAGCTTCAAAGTATTAAATAATATTTCCAAAGTAATAGTTTATTTACTAGACATTTGAAGCAGAAATATTCACAAAAAAAATAAGTGAAATAGGAAGTTAACAGCATGGCTAAATTTACATACTGACAGCATTCAATCATGTAGTCTCTAATTTTTAGTCGCTAAATAGAGGACCACCTAGTAAAGGTTCTTTAGAAGTTTAAAATACTACTACTTTCAGACGACCCCTATTTTCATGGTACCATTACATTATTGTCCCCACTTGTCAAGGTCAACAAATCTTTAACCTTAACTCATTGAGCCGCAATGCACCCCAGTGCACCCTACTTATTTTTTTACTTGTCTAATGCCAGACGATTTTACTCGTCAATGGGGAAGCTCTGCAGCTTAATGGGTTAATTATACAGTAGCCAATAATGGCTGGCTAAATTTCTATTCAATATTTCCGTCAATGTTATTTTAATTATAGATCTTACTTTCAAAAAGTTCTTTCTTCTGTTTAATGATCACCTGATCAATCTGTGCAAGATACTCAAGACCTGGAGGACAACCTGGGATAGGTTGTGGCATGTCAACCTGGACAAAACCTGGATTCTGAACAACTACCTCCCCTGAAACAAAATAAGAACATTATAGGCAGGTTTAAATGGAAACTGACATTGAATTCCTTTAAAACTATGCTGAGAACGTTGATACATACCACTTTGACTACTATACTGCACAGTGCCTAGAAATATCAATACAACATAATAATTAGTACCGGTACATATATTTCTAGACAGATTAGTTTGATGGCCAAACAAAATTTAATTGGTTGTTTGCAAATTTTGACATGAGCTTGGTTAGTTTTCAAAACACATACGCTGTAACTATATACTCGACCATGAACGTCAAGGAAAATTATGAAGGAAACAAAATCCACCTACTGTAAGTACCATGGCTAAATATCAGGATTTTGCATCTCACTCAATACAACTAATTGTTGAAGGGTTTTGTAGATAGAAATTTCAAGTGTAATTTTTATACATTTATTACTGAACTTGTGGTTAAGAGCCTGACAACTGCACTCTGTAGCTCAGTTAGTTAGAGCGCTGCACCAGCCTATCTTCTGTAATTAATTAAGTGTTGTTTTGTCATCGTTAGTTAATTAAGTATCGGTATACTATTGGTGTTGACCAAAATGTGTAGTATCATACTTGGTATTTTATCAAATTTAAAAAGCTGGTATCGCCCATCCCTATCTTGCTTAGACATTGCACGGAAATATGCACCTCGTGCATGCATTGATCATGTGATGTCACTTCACTTAAAATGGCATCATCAAGTTTAATAAAAGTGGTTATGAATTAGTGGTTATGAATAACTCATGTCTCATGTCTTCTGCCTTTTACAAATAAAATCACGAACCCTAATATGAAAATGTTAGTTCATGTAGCCCTATTATTCTACATTATTTTGTGAAATACTGCATACATTGCAAAAAACGCCCTATATTTCTGTTCAGATTTTATAAATGCTGGCCAAACATATTGCAGGTTCAAGTGGTATTGTAATTACCAAATTGAATACTTTTCACAAGTATAGAAAGTATCAATACTTTTTCTAGAATCAATAGTGTAGTGTCCAGGACTGCGCGGACAGGGGAGCGGGAAAAGCATAGCGGCCATGGTGTTTGTAAGTTATGTATAGAGGTTTATATTGTTAAAATAAAAGATAAAATCGGAACATTTCATTGGCGACGGGGATAGTAAAAGTGATGGCAACTAGTCTACCTGACTTTCCACCGTTTGATACGGATGCAGAGCCGACATCTTTGGGAATTCAATGGAAAAAATGGGTTCAACGACTCGAGAATTTATTCTTGGCCCTCGACATTAAGGATAAAACTCGACAAAAAGTTTTGCTCCTGTATTACGCTGGTGTGAAACTATCAGATATTTATTATATTCTGAAGACGACAATTAAGGATTATCAGCAAGTAAAAGGAAAACTAGATGCCCATTTCGAACCCAAGGTAAACTTGACTTTTGAAACCTATAATTTTCAAACTATCTCAGAAAGAGGACGAATCCATTGACAAATTTGTAACCAGTCTTCGAGAAGTTGCCAACAGGTGTGACTTTCATAGTATTGATCGCGAAATAAAGGATCACATCGTTCAGAAATGCTTCTCTGATCGCTTGCGTAGAAAGGCATTGAGAGAAGATCTATCACTTGCAAATGTAGTAAATGCAGCAAGAGCTATGGAAATAGCAGATGCTCAGGCAAAAGATGAAAACACTCTAAAGACGAAAGAGTGGGAAGAGAGGATCAAAACAACCAGTCCAAAAACAAGGAATGCTGTAACTGTGGTGGCCTGTGACCACATACAAATGGTAAAGTCTTGTCCGGCGTGGAGACTTGAGTGTCGGAATTGTGGCAAGAGGAATCATTATGCGAGGAAGTGCAAAGCAGCTAAACGGGTGAGAAAAATTAACTAAAGTGACAGTGAAGACGAATACCGGGTATCGGCCGTGAAGGAAAAGGTGTGTAATAAATAAAGTTAAAATTAATATCAACGCTGTTCCAGTAAAGCTTCAGATTGACTCAGAGGTCGATGTAAACATAATAGATGAGGACACTTTTGTTACATTAAAAGGAAAAGTAACTCTAAAGAAATCTAATGCCAAATTGTTTGCATATAACTCTACATCACCACTTCCCCTGGTCGGCAAGTTTACAGCAGCAATAGCCACAAAAAAGCGGTATGATGTAGCAGATTTCTATGTGATAAAAGGGTCAAGATCATCAGGATGTCTGTTAGGTTCTACTTCAGCTGTAAAACTTGGTATATTAATATTACACATAGTCAACCAAGTGAAATTTAAAGCTGGTACTACATCAAAGGCAACTGAAGCATCGGCAGGGGCTGTTCCTGCCAAAAATAAACAGAACAGTCTAAGCCAGCAACACGTTTGAAAGGGATGTTGGGTGAACTTGTTGCTTCGTACGATGACATTTTCCAGGGTATTGGAAAATTGAAAGGAGTGAAGGTGACACTTCATATTGATGAGACTGTAAAGCCAGTGGCCCAAAAGCACAGAAGGGTACCATTCCATTTAAGAGATAAAGTCGAAGCCGAACTGTCTCGTCTTGAAGACGCAGGTATCATTGAGACAGTAGATTCTGCCACTGATTGGATTTCACCAATAGTGATAGCTCCAAAGAAGGACTCAAACGAAATCAGAATGTGTGTGGATACGGTAGATTTTTAGAACCTAACCGGGCTATCAAGAGGACCCGGCATGTTATTCCAACAGTAGAAGAGCTAAGACATGACCTCAATGGAGCTAAGATATTTTCTAAGTTGGATTTAATTAATGGCTTCCAATAACCTTCCATAAGTTAGAGTTAGATGAAGAAAGCAAAGGTATTACAACATTCTCAACTCATGTGGGACTGAGACGCTATTGTCGATTAAATTTTGGGACAAATTCAGCTCCAGAGATTTTCTACGATGAGTTAAGAAAGAAATTGGAAGGGATTCCTGGCGTTAGGAACATCCATGATGATATATTGGTATCTGGGTTTGATGAAGAAGACCACAACCGTGCCCTCAGTGCCACTTTTCAACGCCTCCGTGAATCTGGTTTGACCGATGTAGAAAGGAGATATGGCCAGATCGAGTGACAGTCCCTGGCCATACAGTATGGATGCCTTAGAAACGAGATTTACTTACTGGGTAGATACAGATCATAAACCTTTGGTCAGCCTTTACAACAGTCCACGTCGACCAGGTCCTTTCCGAGTCGAGCGCATGCGTTTAAAGCTACAAGGATTTTCGTTTAAGGTTGTACCAGCTTGGTAAATTGAATCCTGCAGATTACACCTCAAGACAACCCCTACCATTGTTCCCGATGTTCAAAACGAGAGTTGAAAGAATCGGCAGAACTAGAAGCAATTGGGTTGTTACTAATGACGTTCCTCCATCTCTAAAGATCAAAGAAATTCGCTCGGCGACCCATCTCGATCCAGTCCTCTGCGATCTTTACAAGATTATCGAGAATCAACAGACTATCGATGGTGCAAAATGTAGACAATATACAAATGTAGTAGAAGAACTCTCCATCGCAAAAGGGGTCATATTGAGGGGTAACAGAATCATAATACCGAAGTCGTTACAAAACAAGGTTATCAAGATAGCACACGAAGGTCACCAAGGCCTCGTTAAGACAAAACAATTGCTTAGGTCTAGAGTATGGTTTCCCAAAATGGACGAAGCAGTATCAGCCGTTGTTGGTCCCTGCAGTATTGCATGCCAAGCTACTGTGAATACGCCATCACAGGAACCAGTCAAAATGGTCCGTGGGAAAGCTTAGCAGTTGACTACTATGGACCGCTACCATCGGGAGATTATGTGTTGGTTGTTATAGACGAATATTCAAGGTTTCCTGAGATCGAATTTACAACATCAACATCGGCTAAAGCAACAATTCCAAAGCTGGACCGCATTTTCTCGTCCTATGGTATTCCAATTCAGCTGAAAAGTGACAATGGGCCTCCATTTAACTCGAAAACCTTTAGCGATTACTGTGAATTTATGGGAATTCAACATAACAACATTACCCCTCTCCACCCACAAGCTAATGGATTGGTCGAAAATTTTAACAGAATGATAAACAAGGTAGTGCGTACTTCTTCGATTGAGCGGAAATGTCGGAAACAGGAACTCTTTAAATTCCTTCGGAATTACAGAGCAACGCCACACACCACAACAGGTAAAAGTCCGGCTGAACTACTGTTCCAAACACGACCGTATCGAGTACGGATGCCAGAGCTGTCAACGTCACATGACACCGATAACGAGGTACGTGAAAGAGATGCGGAAAAGAAATTGCAAGCCAAGCAGTATGCAGATCGAAAGTCTTATGTTAAATCGTCTAGCCTTAAAGTTGGTGATCTGGTCCTTGTGCGTAATGAACGAAAAGGAAAGTTGCAGCCATTATATGATCCTAAACCATATACAGTGACAACGACAAAGGCACAATGATTACCGCCTCAAGAGTTAATCCAAGACACATTATTACTCGAAATTCGTCATTCTTTAATTAAACTGCTTAAAGTACCTACATACACACATGACTTTATCAGAACACGGAGAACCATCAGTACATATTTAATTATGAAAATTAGCTATTTACAAATAAAAGCAATTAATATAAGTTAGGAAGAAGACAAGATTGAAGGGAAGAAGGAAAAGAGGAGAGGTACTGTTCTACCTGGTTGCCGTGTGGGAGTCGGTAAGACTGGAAGAATATAGAGATTCCAGACTTCCTTTAAACGAGGAGAGGGATGATGATAATCTAAGAGATTCAGGCAAGCAGTTCCATAGTGATGCTCCACTATAACTGAAGGAGCGCTTAAGATAATCAGTATTGGGCTTAGGAATAAACAACTTGCCATTAGAATTTCTTAGTAAATATTGACAATTTCTGGATGAAAACAATTCTTGTAAGTACTGGGGAGATTGACCATTAAGAGTTTTAAACATAACAACAGCTTTTTGCTTTTGACGGTTAACCGGCAAAGTGTTCCACTGCAGCTGATCTAGAAGTTGACTAGATGAAATATCGTAAGAAGAACGGGTAATAACACGAGCTGCTCTGTTTTGAAGTTTTTGAAGCCTATCACTTAGAGTTACTCCGAGGCCGTCCCATACTGGAGCACAATAGGAAAAGTATGGTTCAATAAAACCTTTATAGGCTTTAATAGCAGTTTCTTGGTCAATCAGCCCGCGCACCCGTTTTAAAGCTCCAATACCAGAAGAGATCTTTTTAGTGATGACCTCAACATGGTTTCTCCAAGTAAGGGTTTCATCCAAGGTTAGCCCTAGGGTTTTAGTTGAACTAACTTGCCTCACTGGCACATTGTCGACCGAGACACTTGGCTCGTAATTATTAAAAGTTGCTAAACGCTGACGTGAACCAATGATCATGAACTCAGTTTTAGCAATATTCAAGCTTAATTTGTTGGCTATTAACCATCTGTTTAGGTTAATCAGACTAGAATTCATCAGAAATTCAAGGTGAGATAAATTATCACTACTAAAATTTAGGTTGGTATCGTCAGCAAACATCCTTGCGAAACCCTCATTCAGGCAGTTTGGGAGATCATTGATATAGACCAAGAATAGCAGAGGCCCGATTATTGAACCCTGACGAACTCCTCTGGATGTAGAAGAGATACCAGAAAACTGACCGTTAACAAAACACTTTTGCCTACGATCAGTTAAATAGGATCTAAACCAAGATTGTGCCAAGTCATCCACACCATATGCTTTCAACTTTGAAAGTAAAATGTTATAGTCAATAGTGTCAAAGGCCTTCTTCAGGTCAATGAAGACTACGCCGTTCAAAAGACCTCTATCGATATTGACACACCAGTTATTAGTTGCTTCTAGTAAAGAAGTGAGGTTGCTGTAATTAGACCTAAAGCCAGATTGATAAGGATTGATAAGCTGATTATCAGTTAAATATGCATAAAATTGGTCATAAACGAGCCTTCCAAAACTTTTAGCAATTGCAGAAATGATTGAAATAGGTCGATAGTTGCCGAGGTCACCTTTATCCCCATTTTTAAAGATAGGTAAAACTCTAGCCATCTTCCAATCATCCGGATAAATTCCCATGGAAATTGAGCGATTAAAAATGGCCGTGAGTGATGGAGACAAAATCTCGGCAGCTATTTTCAAGACCTTACAAGGAACATTATCAGGACCAGTTGCCTTATTAGGATTAATGGATTTCAGAGTTTTGATTACGGTCTCAACATTTATTTCAGCAAACGAAAATGAGCTATTGACTGGGTTTATATAAGAAATAGGATTTACGTCTGAGCTAGGTAGATTGTTGGCAAGGTTATCGCCTATCGTAGTAAAGTAGGTATTGAAAGCACTTGCTATATCAGCCGAATTCGTGATCTCTGCTCCGTCATGTTTTATAGTTTTCACATTTGTGGTTGCATTGGCTTTGCGTGAAGAAAGTTCATTAATAAGTCGCCACGTTTTCTTTGGATCATTTTTGGCTGTATTAATCCGCGTCATGAAGTAATCTCGTTTCGACTTTTTAATAAGCTTATTAGCTTCATTGCGAGCTTTTTTATATCGAGACCAAATTTGATCGTTAGGATTTTTATCAAAACGTTTTTTGAGAGAGTCTCTTTCGCGTAATTTATGAATTAGCAATGAGTTAATCCACGGAGATTTTTTACATCTAAGCCTTTTGGTTAGAACAGGAGCATGAATGTCCAAAATATCTGAAAATTTGGTGAACCAGGCTGTCCACATATCATTAGGATTGTTTTGTGAGTTTATATCGGACCAATTTATTTGTCGGATATCATTTAAAAATTCCTCATCATTAAAATTTTTCATTTGTCTCCTAGTGACTGGATAATTTGTATCGATAACTTGATGATTAGATTTACGAATCAAATAGGTCAAGGAATGGTCACTAATACCCAATGAATGTGTTCCAGACACTGTTACTTTGTCAGGATAGTTTGTAAAACAGAGATCGATGAGTGTTTTAGAAGTGCTAGTGATTCTAGTAGGCTGTGATATAATCTGGGAAAGGTTGTAGATATTAGAAATATTGAGGAGTTCACTCGTATTGCTGTCAGGCCTCTCTGATAATA